GGCATGGGGGGGGGAGCAGTGGCAGAAGTATTCTGAATATCGTGAAACATATGTCATTAGGCCTTCATCTGAACAGCAGATGGCATTGATCATGTCATGTCCAGCCTTTCCCCTGCCGACATGAATTAATGAAATAATCTGCACTAGTTTATGGTTCCTACAGAAGATAACATTGCCAGATTGGCTGATTATGCAAAGTAGTGATATAACTGTCAGTCTTTGTCGTACAGTTTGTAACATTGCTAAAATAGATTATACATTCCTGAGTAAAATGTATGATGGCATTTCCAACTGTGCTATAGCTTCCTGTACATGAATCCTGAAAATCATACTTCTATTAAGTATGTAGGTATTGAAAAGCTGAGTTAAGTTGAACGTCGAACGAAGCCACAATGTTCGCTGAGAAAAAAAGGATAGGTGCGTGGTATAAGAAGGACTGTCACGAACGTGGCATAACGGCAGAGCTCTTCATTAGGCATTCAATTGTCTAAATGGAGGCAATAGAGAGGATTTAACTCACATGTGTGAATAGATGCAATAAATGAGTGAATATGACTGAATTGTGTTCACTGCACTCCAGTCAGTCTCCATGTATCATAGTACAATAAAATAAGATCGTCAGTATACTTACACTTCGCCATTTACTTCCACGGAATCCCCAAATACTTTCGAATCCCATTTGTTCATAACTCGATGTAACTCTAATAGTATAGTCTCATGATATATACGCGTTATCGGCTATCCTGAGATGGCCAACGTTTACGGCAACGATATCAGGAGTTCCAGGAGCCGGACGTAACTGCCTTATGCAAATGGTGCGAGATAAATGCACGTTCAAACACCATGCAGAAGTGGCCTGCTGAAATGCCCCAGGGCAACTAGACGCGATGTGCGGTTGATTACGCCGTAAAATGTAATCCCGGAGGAGTCATGCGCCATTTAATATAACAGTATCGTTAGTATGTTACTTTATAATGATCATTATAAACTGAAAATAATAATTTTTGCACGTCACAGAGCAATAATTATAAATCTACAGAATACATTTTTAGGGTTTAACAGGTATTTTTAGATGAAGCTAAGGCGATGCCAGTAATCAGAAATAACTATATTAAATCACTGATTTGTAAATATATTTTTAGACGTACTGGCTGTTACATAATTGTCATATAGGTCTGTTTTATTTGTGTATAGTAGTGATCTTTTAGTTCTGGTTTGTTTATGTTAATACAAAACGATTTTACTTCTTAAGCATGATTTCCCGTGCTATGAGTAATGGACCATTCATAATGATGACTTTCAGATAATGATTTTTAACGTTGCTTTTGTATTTGGCTGTCGTACAGTTGGTTTTCAGACATCGCCAACAGATGTGCAGAATTTCGACAAAGACTTTACATCGGAATCGGCAACGCTGACTCCATTGGATTCACAGTTGGCCGAAACTATTGACCAGTATCAGTTTCATGACTTTTCGTATATCAGTTCCGAACTAGATCTAAGCTGAATGACTCGATGCATGTGACGTTTGAATGCCACCGATTTGACTTTGGCTAAAAATTCATATGACCGTTGATGGCCTGTTGCTTCTGTACACATCCAGATAATTTATATTCCCTGTATTTATTTATTTGAAAATTAGTGTAAAATTAAACTAAAAACTATCGTTTGTTATGCAAATGTATCGGATGCCGACAGCCTCTAGTTGTTAGTTTTAAAATGTCAGAAAACGGATTGAATGTGCCACAGAAACATAGCGTTATCCCTGTGGTAAACCGTTTTATTTTCATAGAAACATGACATTAATCAGAATGTGCTAACCTCGCTGGCCTTCCAGAAAGAAGAAAATGGAATA